TGAGTTACTTAATCCTGACTTCCAGTTTGATTGCACTATGATCTGAGAGACTGTTTGTTATGATTTCCATTCTTTTGCACTTGCTGAGGAGTGATTTACTTCCAATTATGTGGTCAATTTTAGAGTAGGTGCACTGTGGTGCTGAGAAGAATGTATATTCTGTGGATTTGAGGTGGAGAGTTCTGTAGATGTCTACTAGGTCCACTTGGTCCAGATCTGAGTTCAGGTCCTGGATATCCTTGTTACTTTTCCATCTTATTGATCTGTCTAACATTGACAGTGAAGTGTTAAAAAGTCTCTCACTATTATTGTGTGGGAGTATAATTCTCTTTGTAAGTCATTAAGAACTTGCTTTATATATCTGGGTGCTCCTATAACGGGTGCATTATATTTAGAATAGTTAGCTCTTCTTGTTGCATTGATCCCTTTACCTAAGTTATGTAATGCCCTTCTTTGTCTCTTTTGATCTTTATTGGTGTAAAGTCTGTTTTACCAGAGACTAGGATTGCAACTCCTGCTTTCATTGTTCTCCATTTGCTTGGTAAATATTTATCCATCCCTTTATTTTGAACGCATGTGTGTCTTTGCACGTGAGGTGGGTCTCCTGAATACAGCACACCAATGTAGAACAAATGCAGGGACAAGGACCCTCTGGGTTAGGGTTTGTGCACCTGCTCTGGGGGTTTTCCGCCTTGCTCTTCTGTCCCCACAGTTCACACTTTGGGTGAGAGCAGGGCTGGGCCTCTTTTTTTAAGACGGCCTGTTGTGAATTGCCTTCTTTCTCACACTTCTTCCTTCTTCAGTTCAGGCAACCCTCAGTGCTGGGGGCTCCTAAAAACATCTTAAGCCAGATTGTTAGCTTGTAAATACTCATGAAAACTTCTCCCAATACTTCATCTACTGTGAATTTGCAAATCGTATTTTGAGAAGGAAAAGTGGAATGCTGTTTGTTTCTTTGACTTCCTGTGCTGGCAGTCATCCAGGCAAGGAGTGAAGAGGAGCATTGCTCATGAGGAACACCATGCTTGATAACGGATGTTTTACGTGCCTTACTTTAGTCAAGATGCAACCTTTACAAACAGGCACTGAAGCAAGACACATTTCAGGACAGCAGGGAGCTGACACAAGCAGTCTCAGAGCCTCAGTGCGCTCGGGTACATATCCCTAAATCCTCATTACCAGCTACTGAACCTCTCAGCCTTTCATTTTTTTCATTTTTAAAAGAGGGACACCAATACATATAATTCATAGAACTGTTGTGAGATTGAGCTGGGATGAGTAGAACTCAAGAGGGTCTGCAAATAGTAAGTGCTTAATAGATGTTAACCTCTATTACCACCTGGGTGGGGTGCACCTCACAGCTCAAGAAAGGTTGTGAATTCCCCAGAATTGAGCCACAGGCCATGGGAGGCGGGAGGTCACCTATCTCCCATGAGAATTGTATGTGACATACTCTGAAGGACATGGGGTGCTCAAGGAATGGTGTGACTTTCCCAGGGTTGAGCCACAGGCCATGGGAGACAGGAGGTCACCCGAGTCCCAGCTGAGGCACTTTAGCAATGTGTTATTTTGTAGTAAAGAAGGACCCAGTAGAAGGCTGCTGGCAGTTTTCTCAGGGGAGCATGTCAAGAATATCGCAGGTGCCTTAGCCAGCTTGTATTTTAAAGCAATTAGAAAAGATGAGGTTGAGTGTGAGGAGGCATGATAGCCTTCTTCATTTAACTGGAAGATTGTCAGGTGCAAAGGAAGTAGACTTCTCCGTGTGGCTACAAGCTCGGAACTAGTGTGTTGGAATAGAAATCATAAAGCAACAGGTTTCAGCCCAGCTTTGGACAGAACTTCCTGGCAACTACAGCTGTCAACCAGTGGTCTGGGTTGAATCATGGTAGAATGTTATCCAATTCAGGAATGGTTTGTTGAATGAGCATCTATTAGAAATGGTAAGTAAGGAATTTTGCATTAGCTGATGGGAGGCTGTGCCCGTGACATCTGAGTCCAACCCCTAACATTCCTGATTTCACAAGCATAATCCAGTTATGCAGGAGGCTTAGGAAACAGGGGCATCTGATACTTGGCTTTTTTTAGACAATGCAGAGTAAAGCAGGTAATTGTTTTCTTAATGTATATGAATACACATATGAGTATGTTTGTGTAACTTAGTCATTCTGCATGTTAAAATGTTTGAATCTATTTTCTTTTTAATGACTACTTACCATGCTCCAAGGTCATCCTTTTGAGCAAGAGTTCTAATTAGTGACATAGATATCTCAAAAAAGCTAGACATTATCTGAATATATACAATTGCCAGCTAAGAATTTGGAAGTTGTTATTTCAAATAAATTCCTGATTTTCTAGTCATAATCTGTTGCTCTTCACTGTCGAGGAAACGTCTAGCTCTGCCATGGAAGGTGTCTTTGATAGTGCGTGAAGGATGTGGGAGAGGAGAAAGCTGCAGACATGCAGGGCATGCTTCTGTTTGGTTTGTCTCATCAAGCTTAGTTTCTCTTATGAGATTGGCATCAGTTGTGGGCTTTTGTTTGATAAGTGTTGCTTCTGGGGATTCTTCTTGCATTAGGAAATACATGTGATGGAGAAATGCTATTCTCCTCAACGCTGTTGCATTACAGTTGATGGAAAAATCAAAGGTATGCATAGTTATGATGAGGATTCAGATTCGGGTCAGCTTTACAGAGGGCCAATCTGCAACTTGAATTACTAAGTTTATGGATAGATTAGCTCAGGAAATTTATTTTTTAGCACAGCATTTTATTGTTTCACAGGGAATGAATATTTTACAGAAATCCTGTCTACCATATGTATAGTGCTATGCATCCAGAGGGCATTCCATTAGTAAGAGTTTGGTACTGGAGATTTCCTTTTCCTTCTAATTCACAAGGCTGTGGACATTCATATATTTAAGCTCTCTTAAAAAACAAACAAAAATCTCTCACATTTACCTCTAATATGTTTAAGGTTAGGGAGGATCCAGGGATAAAATTTAACTTTTTGATCTTACATATTTATCATTTGCCTACTCATCTGATGGCAAGCAGAAATAGCCAAAATAAAAACATAATTTCTTTACCAAGTTTTTTGTTTTTTTTTGTTTTTTTTAGACAGAATCTCACTCTGTCACCAGGCTGGAGTGCAGTGGCACCATCTCAGCTCACTGCAACATCTGCCTTCTGGGTTCAAGTCGTTCTCCTGCCTCAGCCTCCCAAATAGCTGGGACTACAGGCGTGCACCACCACGCCCAGCTATTTTTGTATTTTTAGTAAAGATCGGGTTTCACCATGTTGGCCAGGATGGTCTCAATCTCTTGACCTCATGATCCGCCCACCTCGGCCTCCCAAGGTGCTGGCATTACAGGCATGAGGCATTGCGTCCGGCCTATCCAGAGTTTTTAAGGAATGGAAGAATGGGCTGATTTATATTTTTTCCGACTTGTTTGCTTCTTTCTTCCTCTCTTTCCTTCTGTCTCTCATCCATGTGTGTATCATATATACACATATGTATATGTCTACATACATATGAGTGTGCATCCTATATACATCTATGTGTGTGTTCCACATATATTACATCCTTCCATATATATATATGTGTGTGTGTATACATCTAGCCACAGTGGTATGTCTCTTTATTACATTTTATGTCATAGTGTATAATTAAAATAGCAAATGGAGATCCATGTAGGGAAGATGGCAACTTTCAGAAGCCCAGAAGAAAACTAAAAACATAGTGTTAATTTTAAAATAAGAACAGTGCTTATGTAGAGCCAACTCTGCTACAACGTAAATAAACCATGCTGTAGAAGCCTCTGATTTAATTTTGCACAAACCAGGCTCGTCTGAACAAAATGCCTATGGTATTAAATATGTAGAAGCATTTTTAAAATTTTATTTTATTAAAAGTAATATTTCAGTTTCCTGCCATGTGAAAAGTGAATAAGTTATCTGTTATGATTGGCCTGTCACTTCCTGAGTGAGTTTCTGTCTGATTCCTTCAGGTTAGAACAGGGTTGGAGGTTACTGTGCCATTGTGCTAAAAATCTTTTAAGTATTAATATGCACCAGAAGTGACTACCTTATAATCTCTGTAGGAAGGGGTGCAGAGTATTACTTTCGTGTTGTTCAAAACACTTACATTGTATAGTAATACTAGTTAACCAAAAAGCCGTATAGAAGAAACCACAGGTTTCTATGGAGTGATTTGATCTGCGAGAAGAGTAAAGAGAACGGAAAGAAGGTCCAACATGAATGAACTACTTCCTACTTCTGTTTCTGTGCTATGGACAGAAAGCTCATGAAATATGACCATGCAGCATGTGGAAAGAGATAAATGAGAGGTGAATGCAGCAGGTCAAAGTAAAATCACAAAAGACACATTTTATGGTTTGATGTTTAAAAAAGAAATGTATGGTACTTTAAACAATGTTATGAATAAACCTTTCATTGTGAATATGAGTATAAAATTCTGCAATGACACAAAGTGAAAATATAAAGAAATCATTCTGAAAAATTTACACTTTATATCCATAAGAGTTGTCTGTTAAAAAAATTTACAATGCCTTGTTTTTATTTTGTTCTTTATGCAAAGGGTTCAGTAAAATTGCCAAGACATCAATGAAAAAAATTTTTAAATTGTCATCTTTTGAACTGACACTTGAAGTTCTGAGATTTGTTGTAACGTATACCTCATCTCTTAAGGTCTACTTCTTTTAGTGTTAAATTTATTCATCACAGTCCTTTAGATTGAACTTAAAAGAATACGTTTAGTCTGTCTAACTAAATTCATGAAGCTCTGAAATAAGAATTTGATGTTTTCCCATTGCTGCTTACTCTGTAACCTCAATGACATTTGTCCTGAGGCTGTGCACTACAACTCAGTTAATTACAAGTAGGTCACACATGAACATTCACGATAGTAATGTGTAAAAATTCCTATTTATAACCAACAACATCAAAGCAACATTGATGTCAGAGCCCAAGTACAATACACCATAATAGTACAATTTTCAATCTTTATTAGAAACATACAATGGAAAAGTACCCCCCTTCTAAAGAATTTTTGTCCATTTCCATTAAGGCCTCAGCAATATCAGCCTATTAGAAAAGGCTGGTTTGCAAGTCAAATGCAGTCACTTGGCCAGCTGATTTCTGAACATGGGGTGGTCCTGGTTGTCTATGATGCCTCACAGAAGAGACTGGCAGGAAGTCCTTTGCTTGACTTATTTACTTGATGTTACCTTCTTGAAGAGGTCTGCACCCCAGTTACCAGGTGTAGGTTCCCCCACCCCCCCAAAAAAAGGAAAAAATGTCAACAAAGCAAGATGAGGATCTGTGGGTGGGACAGCGTGTCGGGCGATCAGGGCTCAGTCTTCACATGCAGCTGCCTTCTGAGCCAAGGAGGGGGATGAAATCCCAGTTGCAGTCTCCTCCCCTCGAATCACCTTCTCCCACTGACTGAGATTATCTCTAGGGATCAAAGATGCAGTTTCGGGTGAAGCTTATTAAAGGAGTTCTGGACTTTGTCTTTAAATCTAACCGAACAGTTCTGTGCCATAGCTCTGCAAAGCAGTGTTTTGTGAGGCTTCTAATGGCTGATGGTCACTAGTGTGACATGGCCAGGTGGGCTCTTGTGACGGCTGCTCAGGAAAGAGACTCAGCGGCAGCAGGGGGTCAGGGGCATCTTGGCTCACCTGCTCTGGCTTGCAAGAGCAGCAGCAATGCTAAGGCTGAGCATATGTCCTTTCTTAGTAAGAAGGATGACCTTAAACAGGGAAAGAGCCCTAGGGTGTACTTCTGAGGAATCTGCAGGGTCATGGAAAGGAGGAGATGCCACAGCAGGAGGAATACTCGGTGACAACACGAACCTTCCTACTGAGAAGTGCCGAGAGTGTGTCTCCCTGGAGGGCTCTAACCTCCTCACCTTATACTGGTTCTTATTCTGAACACTGTGTCATATATAAAGTCATCCTAAGTTACGCCTGGCACAAACTTTTGAAATTTTCTTGTTACAGTAAAACTGTGCTTGTGCTCTGCTAACGCCTCACCCGAGGCAGCCTCATGTCTCCAGTCCTCTCCTCTTTCTCTTGCAGTGTCTGTAGTTCAGGTGTCACAGGCACTGTCATCTCTAACTGTGTGATCACAACCACTGCACAACCATCTGACTCCACAAAGCTATCCCGGCAGGGCTCTTGGCCACTCTCCGGTGTAAAGTCACAAGGGAATCTTGGCATTGGCAAACACAAAACTCCTATGAGGCACAGTTTCAAAATTCTCTCAAATTTATTTTAGCAAACAGGCTAAGCCACATTCAGATAGACAAAACCCTAAAATATAACTGAAAAGTGTGGCCCTTTTAACCTTCGTAACCTATCATCAAGTATCATTTTTCCAGATCCTAGAAACTTTCTGATATATTGGAAAAAGCCATACACTAATTTTGGTAAGTTTTCTTGAACACCAATGATACAATGTAAACTTTTTAAGTGTTAATAAGATTCTAATGGCTGTGAAGAGATTCTGTGGTCCAGCCAAGTGTAGTGCAGCAAGAGTGTGGCAGAGCTGCCCACACAGTGGACACCATTCTCAGAGCTCCACTGGGACGGCGCCTCCACAGCTCCCTGCAGCGCTGGGCACGCATAGTCAGCACTCATGCCCTGGCTTCCAAATACCTGGTGTAAGCACACAGGATTTCTCAACAGAAAGGACTTTTGAAGATTGCCTAGCTTTTTTAAACACCTTGGAATTTACATTGATATTCCACTTTCTCTTTAATGCTGCACACACTTTTATAACAGAATTCTCTCAAGTATCATCTGGCCTCACATCCCCTATTTCCCATTTTGACTTAGGCCTTTGTAGTAAGTTAAGACTTTAATAAACGAACCACGGATTACGGTCAATTAAGGCTCAACAAAACAAGGTAGGATGCTACTTTCACCTCCACAGAAGCAGGGAGGAAGGAGAAACCATCTCTTAAATACTATATATATAAGCTTTTTAATATTGCTTATTGGTCTTGTTTGTTTTCCTTGAAAAAAGTTAAAAAAACGTTTCAACAGCAGAAATTAAGAGTGTATTAAGTTTCTGGTTTTGTGTAAAGCTCCCTGGCCAGCGTCTGTCCTCCACTCTCCCACGGTGCCTCCACTCCACCCGGCCCAGGCACAGCTATGGCTGAGAAGTTAAAGCATGGCCCTGAGCCGATTCACCTGGAAAGGACTCGCATGCACAGCTGCTGGCTATCACCCTTTGACTTCCTCAGAGGGAATTCATAAAGTAAAATGAAAATCTTTAAAACTATCCAAGGTTCTTAACTGAGTTCACTCTTAAAAAGGATGAGGAAGGAATAGGGAGAAATATGAATCTAGAAGATAACTGATGGCTTAAATTCTTTTTGGAAGGAAAAAAAAAGACTGACAGAGGAAGGGGTTATCCACTTAAGGTCCCCTTCATCCAATAAACAAGAATCTGTGTGATTTAGTCAGCCTCTTCCTGTACAGCATCCTGAATAGACACCACTGCCTTGTCTTTTTAAAAACAGCATTGGGCAGGTCCTCCGCAAAATAATCATAAAAACCTTTCCTCCTTTTTGGTGTATGAAGGAGTTTACATGAATAGACACTTCACATATGCTTGAAAGACTTTATACGAATAGACATTCTTCACGGATGCATGGTGTACTGTGCAGAGACATACTGCGGCTGGCCGAGTCAGGATAGCCGGGGCGGGGGGGCCTCTTCCTCTTGTAGGACCCACTCCATCTGTCACTTCGAAGAATGAGGCACCCTGGCCAAGGCCTTTCTATCCCAGGCCTGAGGACCTCCAGTGACAAGGTCCCCTCAGCACAGATGCACCTCTCGTAAGGCCTGAAACCAAGCTGGCATTGCGAGGAGCGCACGAACTCCCGTTCTGAAAGAAACAACTAGTACCCCACCCCGACTGAACATGGGTGTAAGAGCAGGAAGGGTCCCCCATACCGAGACAGAGACCCTCCCAGTCACTTGGTCATCTGGGTCCTGACTATGTATGGCCCCAGCCCCCAGCCTGTTCCCACTGTCCCTCTCTTCAGAGTGCAGCCAGAAGGAGCTGCCCGAGCACCCAAGGTGCCTGAGGCTCATCTTTGAGGAGAATCGAAGCAAAGGGGATAAGTCGCACCCCTGCGGAGGCCAGGTAAGGGTGCCCCGAGCCCCTGAGCACAACAACTCGACATCTGGACAGACACACAGCCCATAACACACCAATGGAGTCAAATAATCCTATACAGATCTCAGGTTTTTAGAAAAATATCATTACAGCTTCAGTCGTTATACATACCTGCATGCTTTAAGGAGAGGCTCCGTGGGAGGGAGGATCTGGGTAAGGGTTGTATAGCAGGGAATTGCTACAGCATTGTAGAACTCAAGCTGCCTCCGTGCAAAAACCATGGACAAGAAACAACAGTGCACATTAGCGATTCTAGTGATACTTCCATTTCTTAAGTGAATGTTCTGTTTCTGAAGCCTAATTATAAGATTAAATGTTCTAGTTTTGCTGTATGTGATATTTGGGTTCCATGAATACTATTATAGAGTGTATTTTAAAATGCATTCTAGAAATAAAACACGTAACGATTCAAAACATATTATGAAAGTTAATACCTGTTGAAATCTAAGACCCAAGTACATTAAATGACATTCTGCTAATAGATCGGCCAGTGGCTATTCAAGGTCTGTGCTTGTCCCCGGTACCCTCAGTGCTTTCTTGCAGACACCTGAGCGCACGGCCTGCCATTCCTCCGCACACATGGCTCTTTCCGCCCTTGGGCTCGGGCTGACCGCAGTGTGTTCTGCCTGGCTGCTACTCTTAGCTTTGGTGCCTTGTGTGGTCTCCCAATATTTTATTCATCCTCCCTGCCCTCTTATTTGAATTAAAATAAACGTCATTGGTTTTATCATAGCTCTTTCCATTTATTGTTCTTTTAATATATCAGATTTCAAAGTTTTAAAATCTGTAGTACTTTAAACAATTTTATTAGGAATTCTGGGTCACCATGTAAATAAATGATGCTACCTCAGGCTGGCCTACTGAAGGCCAGATGTGAAAGACACGTGATGATTAGCCCGAGAACACAGGTTGTCTAGTCCTAAGTCGCTGGCCAAGTGGCTGCCACATGTACAAGACAAAATGAGCTCTCTAGACGAGGTGACCCCCAAACCACAGCCCACCTATTTCTCTAAAATACTGAACTTCACTGAGATGCATCGAAGCATACAGAAGGCTCTAATTTATGTGGTTGCTTCTTGCTTTCTCCTGTTATAAAGTCTTTCGTCACAGCACTCTTACTAGAATAGCGCCTATGTTATTTCCATTTTTAACTTTATGGCTTATGCAGAGGCTTTTTATTCTGATATTTAGCAGATGTCATGGGGCAGAAGATCCCAGAAAAGATATTAATTATTAGAAATTAGAGTATTTCATTATTATGGCAAAAAATAATTTCACAGTGATCAACTATTTAGAAGCAATATGATTGGTAAAATATTAACTGACCATAGAAAATTTTCTTTAAAACTTTCTTATTCTGTAAATGAAAATCAAACTATTCTAAAACAAACTATTATCATAACTAAAAACACTAGAATAAAACTCATAGGCTGACAGCATCAGTGAGAAATTTCCAGCTATCCCATGCATTCTGTTGGGATGACTGTTAACTATCTGGACGGAAAATAGTTTTAGATCTCTATCTTAAATCATATAACAAGATATATTCCAAACGAGTTAACAAATCAAATATAAAGTCATTAAAAAAGTAACAAAAGAAAATATAGGCAAATATATTTAATCTCAAGGTGGGCAAGAACTTTTCAAATACAATGTGAAAAGCAGACACCAAACAGAAAGGACTAACAGCTGTGACTCCATATATGGGAAAATTCCATAAACAGTGGTAAAAAGTGACAAAAACTGCAAAATACACTTGCAGTAAACATGATAGGTACTCAGGACCCCTTTCAAATCAAGAAGGAAAAGTGAGCATGCCATCAGAAAAACTAGACAGGGACATGAGTGGAGGCAATGCCCATTCATTCAGCCCCTTTGTTGTGCTGGTGCCCTCTGTGAGCTGTGGACATGCCTAAATTTTGTATAAATTAATTTTAAATAAAGGAGGGAAATTTGAGAACTTATCAAAAACCATCATGCTGTGGATTTTTGAAACATTTTCTAAACTTATCTGTATCATAATTATTTGCCCACAACTTCCTTGTTATGCCATTAGAAGATTAGATAGTTAACAAAAACCATACTCTCAGAAATATATTACACCACACATAAACAGATTCAAAATAATGAGGCACCAGACCTCTGAAAACATTAGAAAAAAAATAAATTATGTAGTAAGACCTGGAAAGAGGATAATTAATGTCAACTTACGCTGAGACAAAATGCAAAATGTACTAAAATAGTAAGCATTATTTGTCAGAAAAAAATGGACCTGAATCAAAATCTGTAATGTAACTCTCCAAAAATTATCTTTGTTTAGCCAATGACAAAATATTTTCTGCTTGTTAAAAATATGACAATTCAAATTCATCCACCCACTCTATTTCAAGTCAGAAAAGAAAGCCTATTGACTGCAACGGCAGCTGTAGAAAGGAGTCATGGCAAAGGCAGGATGAATTCTTTAAATCCACAGAGATTTCCTAACGTTGGTCTTATTGTCCCCAAACTCTGTCTAAATGGAGAAGGTTTCAAGTGGTTCTAGGTTGTGTTCTGTGAGCGCTGTCTTCCCAGTCCACAAGGCAGCCAGACCCTCAGGATTCCTCACTGTGGCTTTTAGCCTTGGGAATGGAGGTGGTGGTCAAACCCAGATTAAAAGTATAAACTCTTTTAGAGTCTACTTTCCTGAGTGTCTTAGCAAGTGAAGGCTCGCCTGAGTAGATGATTATTCCAGGGTAAACAGCTACTCTTTTTCTAGTTCTCAGCTCCTATACAGTACATTTCTAAAGCTTCTATATTAATCACCAGACCTGCCTTGACTATGCTTCACATACCATAAGATGACATATGCTTTTCATTCATGTATGATTTGATGCCAACCTTAAACTATTTGACTTGAGCAATTACAATTTACTTTAATAATTCATACCTGGCCTTGTGGGACTTCATCCTTCTTGTCTCTGTCCATCATAGGAATCGGCTGTATTCCCAATTTCTTCATTTCATCACCCTAAAATAAATGGGGGAAAAAATCATGCTTTCTCAAATTTCAAATTGTTATAAAATTTTCATATTATATAATTATTCCCTTTACTTGTTCATTTTCTTCAAAACAAGTAATATTTGTTGTTGTTAACCCAAGGAAAAAATGTCAAAATAATGAAAAACTTAATATACCATTATTTTGTACTTTATCTTGATTTTCTCCACTACTGAATTACCAGGCCATCCTTACTGGTTTCATTTTGCAGAAGTTAGTAAAAAAAATGTGATAATAAGAGGAGACATAGTAAACAGTGAGAAGAAACAATAATAACAAGATATGGAACAGCCCCCAGGCCCTTCTCTCTTTCAAATGACCTTCCAGTGCATGGAACTCAGTGAAGTGTGGCTTTCCAGAGGAATATTTACAGAGGAATAAAGAGCAACAATAGTCTGCTAAAATGTGCTAGTAAAGACACAAAACAACTGACTACACACATCATCTAATTTACAATTATAGGTAATAGTTACTAAAGATTCACTATGTTGCAGGCACTGAGCTAAGTAATTTGGAAATATTATTTCATTTAACCCTCATGAAATATTTTAAGATATCTTATTCCCATTTTACAGATTTTATAAATTATCTTGCTTTTTATTTGTTTGTTAAAGTTAAAATTGGCTACAATCTTCTTCCTTAAGATTTCCTATTTTTCCTAACTCCCCACTCTTCCCTCATATTTCTTTATTATTTTAGTTATGTTAGTCATGTTTTCAGAAATCAGAAGTACAGCCTAGAAACTTTCCCAGACTTGCTAAAATAGGGCCTACAAACAAATTACTATAACCATAATAAGGAATTTTACATACAGGACCAAAGCACTCGTCCCAACAAAGCAAAGCCACTTTGAGCACAGCTGCTGCTCCATTGCTACTGCTTTAATTAAAAATCAGTGGTCTCAAACTTTTTGCTTCTGTATCCAAAGTGAGAGAGACATACTAAGCCCCTTGCTCTCAAAGACCTGACACATCAAACACGACAGCTTTTTAAACAAACAGATTTGAATATGTACTCGAAACAAAAATGCTAAAATGGAAAAGAACCCAGTGTGATGGACCATGCCTATAACGGAGGGCTGAGCCAATCTGAGGCTGTAACAGAAAGCAGAGGGCAGGAGCGCGGTCCAGGCAGAGGCTGCGGGGAACAAAGACCTACATGACAGCGAGGGGCTGAGACAGGAAATATGCCTGCACAGGCAGTGGGCAGGGGGCCGGCCACGTGGGCTCTCCACACGGAGGTCGATTTCAGTCTGTATTACAGCAGAGGACCTGAAGCAGGGTACTGATGGAATCCGAATTATCATCACCCCTATCTGATAAACTGGCCTGTGGTTAAATACCAAGCGCCAAAGCAGACTTTTAATCTCAAGCAAGCTGGCACCAAAGACCACATTATTCATTACTTTTGCACAGATTCTAAAAGGTAAAGGTGGGGAATTCAGTTAGAAAGTTGCAGTACCCCAGTCATGATTTGGTGATGATCCAAATCAGGGGAGTGATCATGAGGATGGAGAGAAAAGGCAGGACTTTATAGATACTGGGATCAACTGTCAGGACTTGGTGAATATATTTCTGCTTCTTCCTACGGACAATGATGAGGTCAGTGAAGACTGCGCCTAAGACCGTACATGGAGCCAAATCAACGTCTGTGGACTGAATAACCGGTGAATAACAGAAAGGGAAAAAAATCTCCATTACATATTGGTCACATTTTGGCATTAAAATCTCCAGCTTTTAATGCTGCACCTTCCTTTTGCTTTAAGTTGTCCTTCAATGACTGCACATTTTCCACATTCATCTAGAATATAGAAATCATATTAGAATCTATAGATATGCCTTTCTCACAGCAATCCTGTACCTAAACAAAAGGTGCACTTTTAGTATGAGATAAAAAGTTATTTCACAAACAGTGCAAGGTTTTTGCTCCTGCTGGCATAGCTGGAGAGATGGCTTCATGAATTTCCTATTCTTTTTTAAAATGATCCTTACATGGGATTTATTTACCTTAAGCAACCACAGCTGCAGACTTCAATCCGGGGAATGTATCAAGCAACTCAACTTTTTCTTGTCGTGTCATGACTTTTCTTTGCTTCTTAAGAGCACTTCCAGCATCCTAGTGTAGCTCTGTACAGGTGCCATGGTATTATTCAGGACTTACGGTATTGCACTAACACAATGAAAAATATGCAAGAACCACAAGAGACCACTTTTTACTGTAGTAAATGATTTACTGGAGAGACGAACTGCTCACAGATGATTAGCCTCACAGAGTGTTTCAAGCACAGCATTTTAAGTGGATACTTGCAACACTTGAGCTCATCACAATAGCAAAAGGAAATTGCTACAAAAGTATTACAGTAGTGCCATATGTACTACAGTTAATTTCAGGCAGTTACGATTTAACATGGCATCTTTATGTTTGTTTACATTTCTCGCCACAGACTATAATAGTGTGTATGTAAGTTTTGATTAACTCATATATTTGTGTGTATTTTATGGTAGTAAATGACAAAACAGACTAGTATCTTCACATACTTTATACATTTATGGCATACCTAAATTAAATTTTTTCAATATTTCTAGGCTATGTTGTTCTGTATTTTTGTCACAAATCTCCAAAAAATCTTCCAATATATTTACTGAAAAGTATCTGCATGGAAGTGGATCCACACAGTTCAAACCTGTGCTGTTCAAGGGTCAACTGCACATCTACATCACTCTTCCTATGAGTCTGACGGTAACTCGGTTCTGACACATACACAGTAAAATAAAGAGAAAGCTCATGCGAAACCATGCATACATGATGTACAAGGCATTCTGGGAGAAATCATGCCAGGAGTATAATCAACTCAAGGCCTGTGATCTTCCTACAGTTAAAAATGCTTTGTCTTTACTATTATGAAGTAATTCAACATGATAAACTCTTCCCACTAAACTTGTGGCTGATTTGCTGTTTATGTTTTACATACATTCTTCGTATGAGTGAGATAGATGATTGAATCACCAGCTGCTTTGTCCTCCAGATTTACTTTTATTTCATCAAACTAGAAGTACTCAAAAGAGTTATAGTTTTATTCAAAAAGTAATTTTTGAATACGCAAAGACCTAGGTATTTGTGACTCAGCTGGAAAGGAGAATTATATTCTACTTACTTACATACAATTCAATAAGCAAATTGAGCAGTACAATGCACATTACTGATAAATTGCATAATTCAGTCAAGAAAAGGTGTTAATGTAAGTCATTTATGTGTTGTTTCAGGAGTATTATGAATTAACATTCCATACATTCTGAGGAACTCATAGTTTACAGGTGAGGTGACTATTGATTATATTTACATATTCTCAATTGAGGTGAGGTGACTATTGATTATATTTACATATTCTCAATGTCTATGGTGCAAAACAATCCTCCTGAATATTTAACTGCAGGTGGATATATCCCATATTATGGGATCCTCTGAGTACTTTGTCCAGTGCCTATCTAAAGTAGATGGCCGGTAATGCCTACTGAATGAACGAAAGATCAGCTGTTAAGTAAAATAACCGTCACACTATTGTTCAGTGAGTAAGTTCCTAAACTCTTTCAGTTGAGCTCAGAGAATTAGACACATATGCAAGTAACATATAAAAGAATGATCATTCTCTCTTTGTATCTGCCTAACTGCTAAATCCTTCAGTATATGATTCACCACAGTTTTCTAAAATAACTATCATCATGAACAACTACGGTATTCTTAGCAATTTATCCATACATTTAATTTCTCCTCACTATCTATGTTAATAAAAGAATCAAGGACATACCTCAGCCCAATTCTTCATATACATCATTTGTTATCAATTTCATAACAGGCCACCGTTTTGTCACATAACAAAGATCACAGGCAGTCATCATCAAACCAATTACACAGTCTCTAGAACACAAAAATATAAGACTGGTCAGCATAGCATTTGCACATTTATAATAAGAACTAGGAAGACTTTCGTATTTCAGGAGTGAAGCCTAAGTACGTATTACTTCATGAAGGAAGAATGATGGCATTGAAGAGCACATACAAGTAACAGCTAGGACAGTGAATGGAATTAAAAATTAGTGTCATTTAATCATGAGAGTCACTTCTATCATGAGTCCCATGAGGAGTTCATCATATGTTCCTGTTGCCTCAATGTTACTGAAGAAATCAAGTATAATGTAGGCTCTGACTAGGCTGTCATCAAATCCCCTGGTACACTTTCATGGCTGTGAACCAGGCTTTCATTTTCATTGAATTTTGGAAATTTAGAGCAGGAAGGTATCTTAAGAGAAAATTTATCCCAATCCTTTCATTTTATACTAGGAAAGTCTGAGGTGCACAGATATGAAATGACTTTTCCAAGAGGACAGGAATTTGTGGCAAGGCCAGAGGAGGAGGTGGCTGTGAAACCTGCTTCCTCGCCCATGCAAGTGTGCGCGCTGGGTGCAGCCTGCAAACACTGTGCTTCCCATTAGCAGATATTCAACACCTGCCTTTCAACCAAAGTGACGTTTCCCTTTTCAGCTGCTTGCATTCATAACTATGTGCTCCATGTCTGACTTTATTTTCTAAATACGGCGTGGTTTAATCTTCCCCCTTGAAGAAAAATAATAACTTAAAAAAATTCAAAGACCTATCCCCTACAATTTGAATAGATTTGGTCTAGTGATATGTGGCTATGTGAAGTCTATACTTAACAGAATAATTAAGTGGTAGTAATTAACAAAGTTTAAGGTACAACCTTATCTTTTAAAAAGCAAATTACATAACTGTAAAAGACAAATTATCAACAAGATTACAAAAGTGTGTAATGAGTGAGACGATGCTTTTATTTCTAGCTCCCATCTCAGTTCTAATGAGTTCAAGCAATCCCTGCCGTTAACCACTGCCTCACCTCTTCCAGGTCCACATTCTCCACCTGTGGGCACAGTCCTCCCCTAGCTCCCAGGCCTGTCTTGACTCGGCAGACAGCGCATTAGCAGCATCTATCTGTCAATTTGGCAGAGACTCTGCTCTACTAGTGCTCTTAGCGTATCTCAGCCCAAGCTAAGACGTTGGGATACCTAGAATACTCTGGTTCTTATATTACCATGAATCACAGAGTTCTTTATTTTCCATCAACTCACTTCCTTTATTTAGCCTGTTTAAGTAATCATCTCTTTTGCCACCTTTTTGTAAGGGCAATTTCGAGAGGGTTTCAGGTCTCTTATAGGTCAGGCTAAATCACTTTACAAACATTGGTTAGACTTATGCAAAACCTTCCTGTAACCCCAAACAGATGCCACGTGAAGATTCAAATCCCTTACAGTGATCAGGGAACTATTAAGAACTTAATGAGGTACTTTCCCAGAACTTTGTGCCTTGAAGAGTATTTATTTTTGAATTTGGACTTCTAAAGTAATACATATATGACTTTTTTTCAACAGGTAAATTCATTTAAACACAAATCAAATGTGAAAACTACTGTTTACAAATAATTACTTCATATGTTTAAAATAATTCAATTTCGCTAATTTATATTCACCAAAATAAGCAATGCTTATCATGGTGAAATGATCTAATAAGCTTTATCTCAAAAAACCACTTTCATAAATCTGTAAAACAAAAGAAATGTCAATGGAATTGGGCATTATAAAATACATGAAAGCAATTTTCTCGCTGGAAATTATTCCCAACATAAAGTTGCCAATATAAGGATTGAAAGAATTACAAAATAGTTATTTAGATTTCACTGTCAAAATTACTTAGACAAAGCACAAAAAACAAAACAGATTAGAAATTTGACATTAAATGTCTTTAATAAATATAATTACTTGTTTTTTACTCCCAATTACAAACCTGTTAGATGGCCTTGGCAGTAGAGACATATTAATATTAATTGCAATCAACATTGTATTTCTATCCATGGATGGAATGTAGAACTAACTCCTAACTGGTATAGATGCTTAATTCCAAATCTGCTTTAATAACCCACTGTGAAAGGGATTGCGTTTATGCTAAGCATAGTCTTGTATGATCTCATATAACCTAGTCACTAAAAGCAATGAAGTGAGAGCCCAACACTATGCCCATGATAAAATGTTTCTTACTCACATCATTTCTGAAAGTTTAACTACAGTCACTTGTCCTCAAAAGTTCTGAATAGCTGAATGTATCAGGCAATTACAGCAAAGAACAAAATAGACCCTGTTTTCACAGTCCTAATGTTCTAGTAGGGAAAGGCAGATGATCAATAGGTCAAAACTTTCATGAAGAAAGTGCTGGGTAAAAAGTACAGAGAGAAAGAGAGAGAGAGAGAACACACCATGTGAAAATCCGTGAGCGAGGGCCAGCAGAGAGGAGTGCACGTGAAGTCCTAATGTGGAAACAAGGAAGGCAGGTTTGAGGAACAAAAAGAAACGGCATTCTGGCTGAGACACAATGCGTGAGGTGAAACACAGAATGGAGTTAAGTTTGGAAAACCAGGCTGGAGACAAGATAGGAGTTTAAGTTTCATTCCAAGTTTGATGATAAGATCCTGATGTCTTTTCCCAGATAAGTGGCCTGATATAGGTATTAAGGAGGATTACTCAGGTCTGCTGGGTGGAGATGACTTATAGACCTGGGAAGGGCCAAGGGCAGATTTGGAGTGGTCACTTACGAGGATACTACGGTAGTTCAGATGAGAGGTGAGGGCAGCTTGAATTACGGTGACAGTAGTGGGATGGGGGAGTGGGAGGGTTCCCAACATTAGAAGCAGAGCCAAATGCAAATTATTAACACCCAAAAGAGTTACAAACAAGGCCTCTTTCTCTCCAATCTTCCTTTCCTTTTCCTTCCTTTCTCCCCGACTCTCATGTATTAATTATCCCAGACCAAGTGGGGTAGATAAAGAACACAGGCTCTATCACAGGTGTGTGGATATTCCAACCTGAAAGAGGTAGGCACCTCTCCCTAGCATGCATGTTTGCCTTCTCAGTGCCATCTTATTTCAAGATTTCTTTCCCACACCGGAAGATCACGGAACCACAGAACTTTACCAAAGACAGGCAAAATAGGCCACACAGCCTGTGTAACTTCAGGTGAGTTACTGATGGGCAAGAAGGAAGCCCAGCCCTCCCACACCGCCCCGAATCCCATGCGGCACACTCTGTAAACTTAGCCAGCCAAGGATGTGCTATTTTGCTGGAAAAGAACACTCATTCTCTAATTTTATCGGGACTCTTTGAAATTTTTTTTGAATTTCTATATTCAAAAGTATACTGATGTATAAGCAAAGACCAGATTTCTGTTATGAGGTAGTCTTAATTATAATTGTTACAGTGGTTAAATGATACCAAGTAGTTAGCTAAAAAGCAAACATGTGGGGGATGCACAGTAAATGTTTTGTTTAGAAGCTGTCATCTAGCCTCATTTTAATTATTTTATTTTAAAATAAAGTCATGCATAGAATTTGAAAAGAAACTAGGTTAAATTCTTTTTTTCTTTAAATTATCATCCTAAATTTTTTTTATCTCGCTTCTAAATTCATCTTCAAGGGATTTTAAATCATTGGGTTGAGTAATTTAAATCATATCTGTAGTAACTACTATACTTTCATCAAAATGTGACCCATTTTGACTAATTTATTAAACATTAAACTAGTCTAAGGATAATACAGTTTTTCTAAAAATATTATTTGAACAGCTGTATACTCAAAATCATAGAAAATATTTTAGAATCTTATTGTTTCCAATGACATAAATAACTTTCATACAAGTATAAACATGATATAGTAACTATCTCACTAAAATAAACTTTAAGTTCCAAAATCTTAATTTAATAAAACCCTAAATATGTTGCTTCTTTTAAACATACCATTACAGAGAGAAAAAGAAATTATAAATGAATGGAAAATGAATCTCAGGTAAATGAGTACCGCTGAGGGAACTGCTGTTATTAAAGCTGATAACAGAATTCTTGTGTTATTCCTGGAGTTAACACCCTTTACGTGGTCTCACAGAGTACCATATAACTTTAAATCAAATAGGAACAGTCGTGCTCTTGCTTTAGAACTTCGGTTCCCCACATTTCAGGTTCTTCGGTTGAAACATCAGACATTCCTAGCAGAGGGAGGCCTTTCCACACTCACAGTGCTGCAGCAGGTAAAGGCTGGAGGTGCGGCCACATTCAGAAAATGCTAAAGAAACTGCATTACAGTATTAAAAAAAACAGACCACACATCACAGACACATTTGTTGTTATTCAAAGTTCACAGCAATAGCTGTGTGAAAATATAAAACTTTTCAAGTTCTAGTTCTGAATTATTTGAAGAATTAAATAATTTTTTTTTCTCCAAAGGGTTTATTGAGACAAGTTTTCACATACAAGATGGGGGCAGAGAGGATGGGGCTTATAAACAGGAACCTGGAAGGAGACCGAGGGTGCAGGAAACAAGAAAATGAAATAAATAGAGGAAAGAGTGGAGGCAGGGACAGACTGACCGAGACCATCACATAGTGACAACGCAGGTGGGGTGCCATGAAAATCCTGTTATTTATACAGATATACAGGGATTGTTCAAATGTTTAATACTGTTCCCTTTCTTTGATGTAGACATATATTTGAGTTAAGAAAAGACTTCAAGGGAAGTTGAGTAAAAGGATTGCCTCCGAAGGGCATAAATATTCTCTGGGACTAAGAGAAAAACATTTTCATTTGTATATTTCCTAATGATTTAAGAAAGATAACAAAAAGAAGGGAAATTATGATTTTCAAAAATCACAATTTCAAATTATGAAATTAGTTTATCTTTACAATTTGTGTTTAAGAAAGGCAGTTCCTACATGAAATACATGAAAGAAAAAATTCTAAAAACTACCCAGAACTTCCATATTTGTCATTTTAATATTTAAAAGGATAAAAAGGATACTTTTACTTGA